CCGGTGCCCGCGGCTCCCTCGGGGGGCAGCCGCCGTGCAGAGCCCCGCACCCCGGTGCCAACGGCCCCCTCTGGTTACAGGGGCCTTCTGCATTCCTTTGTACGTGCCCTATGTGCTGACGGGGAGATGGATCTTCGGGAGAAGCCTCTGCAAACTCTGGCTGGTAGTTGATTACCTGCTCTGCACCTCTTCGGTCTTCAACATCGTACTAATTAGCTATGACAGATTCCTCTCAGTGACAAGAGCGGTGAGTCCTGTCATGGCAGCTGAGAGGGGAATAACTCTCCTCCTGTTTTAGCCTTTAGATTCTCTGCAGTAGTTAAAAGCTCTTTGAATCCTCCAGAAATGATCAATCTTTCAGTTTGGTGATGGAAAGCAATAATTACCCACAAATACATAATTCAGCTATGGTTTCCGATTAGTATTTCTGGCATAATTAAATCATTTAAGGCTCAGACCTCACTGTGCAGGTGTTCCCTTCCCAGACGACAGGAAAGCAGCGTTCAGGTGAGTCGGTGAAGGTAAGCAGACCTATCACTAACTTGAAGGGGCTTATTACCTCCAGGACAAAAAGGCAGATTGCAGTCGGACTCCCAGCTTCCCCCTGGCTACCCAGGCAGTAGATTGCAGTACCCACTTGGGCAGGGCACTGCCCTGAGGTGTCTGGGTACTGGCGAGATGAAAGCCTTCTTGCCTTTCCAAGGGGGTAATGAGCCATTCGTAGGCAGATTAGCTCCATCACCGATTGCTTCTTCCCCGACTCCAAATAGAACTTGGATTAACAAAGCTCAAAAAGAGCCAGAAGCTGATCCCCTGACTAGCCTGGGAGTTTGAGCCTTGCCTCTCCCGGGGAGTTGCAGAGAGGAGCTGGGGACACCTCAGCCGAGTGGTGGGGTGCAGCAGCCTGCCCAGCCCCAAGCAAGCCAGTACATTTCCACGAAGCAGATGCTATGTCAGATTTCAGAGTAGCAGGAAGAGGGTACTAAGTCTTCCCTGCAGGAGTATAATTTATCTAGCAATTGCTTCTGTTGGCTATGGCATATGAATTTATTAGACTGCTGAGATATTGCCTAGCAACTCTACCAGGAACACTAACTGCTGATTTGTGAGGGCCCTCAACCCATTGGGGTGTGTGACCATACCTAAGATTTCCCCATTGCAGGTCGCCTACAGAGCCCAGCAAGGCAACACCAAGCAAGCAGTGCTGAAGATGGAGATGGTTTGGGTATTAGCATTCCTGCCATTATCAGCTGGGAGTATGTATCAGGCCAGAGCATCATACCCACTGGGGAATGCTATGCTGAATTTTTCTACAACTGGTATTTTCTCATGACAGCCTCTACGTTGGAGTTTTTCACACCTTTCATCAGTGTAATGTTTTTCAACCTGAGCATTTACCTGAACATACAGAAGCGTACCAAAATACGCCTGGATATTTTCCATGAAGTGCACCACCAGTCCTTCACTGAAGAGATGGAAATGAGCACAGAGGCAAAGCTTTCTTCAAAATGCTGTAAGAGGGAGCAGAAGGAGTCAGCTGAAACCCTTGACCTCTCCCAGAGCAAAGCTCAAGCAGCAGCCTCCATTGCCAGACAGGGTGCCAAAAACCTGCTGCTAACAAGCTCTAAGAGCTCTGGGAAACCCAAGTGTTACAATAAAAAGAGATGTAAAAATTCAGTATCCACTCTGTCCTTAGAGAAACGGATGAAGATCGTGTCCCAGAGCATGACTCAACGCTTCAGGCTCTCTAGAGACAAGAAAGTGGCTAAATCGCTGGCAATCCTCGTGGGCATCTTTGGGATTTGCTGGGCACCATACACTCTCCTGATGATTATCCGTGCTGGTTGCCACGGCCAATGCATCTCTGACTACTGGTACGAGACTTCTTTTTGGCTGCTGTGGATCAACTCAGCTGTCAACCCTATCCTCTATCCTCTCTGCCACTACAGCTTCAGAAGAGCTTTTATTAAACTCCTCTGTCCCAAGAAGCTAAAGGTTCAACCTCACGATCCCCTTCAGAACTGCTGGAAGTGAAGCCAGCCCTGTGTGCAGAGGAGAGGAGCCTTGGTTTGATACATGTGTTACAGAAAAGTACTGTAGCTTGCTTCCTTGGAAGGACCTGGTCTGGGACACACAAGGAAGTCAGCACTGAGACCACTATTAATTTATTCTAGTCCCATGAACAACAAAATCCAAATCACACAGAAGGGTAAGGGTTTTTTGGCATTAACTACAGGCAGTGACATTTCTGTCCTCCACTTGCAGGTACCACAAAAGAGCTCTGCTGCCACCTACTCAGCCAGAGTGGCACCAGCATTTTGCTTAAGAAAAATAAAACCTGAAAAATTAAAGCTAATAAAAATCAATATCTAACATCCAAAACTACTGGACTAAACTACACTTTACCTCTTTGCAGATCTGATTTTTTTTTCCTGTAGATGAGAGCATTTTTTCTTACACATAAGGTATTACATGTATGTGATGATATGGAAAGAAGAGAACAAACCTCAGAAGGAAAACACCTCATTTATCATTATTGCTACAGCAGCTACAGCCCTAATCTAGATCCCTGGTGCATGTGGTGCAATAAATGTCCCTTCCCCTCCCCAAAAAGGGACAAATCTCTACCCTAAGAAGTTTACAACCAGATGCAGAGGTGCTGAGCATCCTGAAACACCCTGTTGACATTCCCTGATTCCTGCTTCAAACCTGATCTGATTTCCTTTGCAGCCACACATCAACCAATGCTCCCACAGCACAGGGAAGCACTCCCCTCCTGCCCAGAGCTGTGCAGCAGGAACAAGCACTGAGATAAGTGAATCTTATGTTCCTTTTCTTTTTTTCCTAAGTTCATTTTAGACCTCTTAATTTTCAAAAGTTCCAGGAGTCTTGCATGCTTCCTTTTAAAATAAATAAATTGAATTGAGACCCGGGTTGAGCTGATCCAGGCCACGTAAGAATTTTTATTATTTTTTTAAATTTTATTATTTTTTTGAGGCAGACAACTAAAACCACTGATAGAACACCAGAGACCAGAGTTTTAGCCTCAGTTTGACAAAACCTTGGGCATTTTACCCCTGCTTCTCATATCATGTTTCATCATTTATTCGGCAGCCTCTTTCAGAACAGAGGCAGCATGACCTTAAAGACTTCAACTGCCCACCTCTGTTGGCACTGCCCAGTGACACAGTCATAGAAATATGTAATTAGTTGCAATGGCAAACACATTTAACAGTATTGTACTGGGAAGCTCCAGGTCATAAGTCTGAAAACTACATTAGCAAATAGAAACCAAACTGCTGTGAAGTAGTACCCAAAAGCTTATGATGTTGTGATTGCCAATTACACCTGCTGTTGTAAACAAACTGCTTTTTGGCTGCTGCTAGGAATAAAAGAAAATGCTATCCAACTTAATTCCAGTGACATTTGTTGAGTAGATTAGTACTGTCACCTGAAGTCAGGTTTTCAATTATGTCTTGTTTTGTGTATATGATAAATTTCAGTCTTGTGACATGTTCAGACCATTATATATGGGTTAAATATATCCTTTGAAGTAAGTGACTAAGTAAGTAAGTAAGTAACTGAGTCACTCTGTACTGTTGAGCCTGTCTGTACCTTTCCTCGTGTCTGTTACCTTCTGAAAACCCCAATAAAGTATTTTTGTATGAAGCTTGCCAAATATTTTATGGTAAACAGGGTGTTGTTAGAAATGACAAAATCCAATTGAAATAAAAACATCTGTGGATCTGTCTAGGGAGACAGCTAGAGCCTACAAATTTTGCAAAAGAACAGCTCCTGAAACATCTGAGTTTCTCTTACCTCTGATTAGCAGGTTCCTGACAGCACACTGAAGGTGTACTGAGAGGGTATCAATTCTTCCTTAAGAATCCCATTAGTGGGATATCCCAAAATATTTCTGCATATTTTAAAATCCTAATGGTACTTTTCTCTGAGTTTTCAAATGAGTGAAGAAATGGACACATTTCACTATGAGCCTTTTGCACAGTATTTTTATGGTCTCTGACCTCCATATGGGCAGAATTACCTAAACTTAGCTGAAAGTAATTGTACTCACTGATGCATTTTGCAGGGAAGATACTTGTATTCCTTGATGAAATAAGAGCTCTTGCCTTGCCAGATAAAAAAGAAACATAACTACTTATGCCTGGACTTGAGGTTACACCTGAGCCTAGGTTTCATACTGAAAATACTATGAGCTGGTTTGAAGTTTCAGAGTAGCTGACAAACAAGTCAAATACGCTTAAAAGATTATTTGAATTCTACCAGTTTTTAGTGTTCAGAATATAAACACCTATAAGCATTTGGACAAGGCAAGGACCAGGGAGCTTCTGGGCATAACCAAATTTGAACTGTGAAAACACATTACCATTAGACAAGGCAGGCCTTCTTGTCAATCAGCCTACCAAGACATCTATATAGATGTTTTGCTACTGTATCTGTTAACAAAAACACCCCATTCCTATTGTCTAGACACGAACTGAGGAGGCAGGATCTGTTTTCCAAGAGCATGGACGACTTGCTGTAATTATGAATACACATCAAATATTTGTGGAAGCACATAGATTTCCACATAGAAAACAAGAAAACAGTTACTTCCAGAGAGAGGTATCCAATTTATGCATGGAGAGTTAGTAAACAATGATCATGCAGCTGTAAATTGTACCCAGGACCTTTTTAAAGCAAGGGGCTAAGTAACTTCCTGTAAGATCTGTGCAGAGGTCGTGCCAGTTCCCTTCTCTTACTACAAACCTAGACTCCATCAATTCAAGGATGTAACGGCCACCACACCCAGGTCTGTGGTCCTTTCACAGACACTTTTCAGCACAGCTACTTTCTTTTTGGCTCTGTAGTGCTTCCTCCCTAATCACCAATAATGAAAAGTCTCTTTACACAGAGGAACTTTGCTCCCACCACAGCTTCTCAATACCCTTCCTCAATTGCTGTTACTTATTTCTTCTCTCCAATCTGCAGTTACTGGAATTGCTTCATTGTTCCACAGACATCACTGAAGCTTTATTAGTTCAAGAAGGAGGCTACAGAAGGGAGAATGCAAGGAGCTTTTGTTGAAAAACACCTGTCTGGGATAATTAATGAGATTTGCCCAGTGGGATGGGCTTTGAAATCAAGAAGATGTGATTATATTTTGATTCTAAAGAATGCTAATGCTTTTTCTTCCGTGTTTGTAAATGAACATTCATTTCCATAGCAGAACCAGGATGGAGAGACAGCAGGTGAGTACCCTTGCTAGAAACAAGTTTAACAACATGATTTCTGTGAGGGAGGATTAATTTTTCATAACCCCAGCTGCCATGCACTGATACAAACACAACTTTGCAGTATAGCCCTGATCTTGAAATAGACCTCCTCCACCCTACAGGACTCATTCTGCAATACATGGAACACAATAAGGAGTATTATTATCTTTACTGTGACGTGAGAATTGCAGGCAACAATAAAACAGCTTCAGGAGCCACCCTGGGTGAATGCCACAAAAGAGAAAAGTGCTCTCAATTTCTAATAGCACAAAGCTAGCCTTTCATGCAAGACTTCATGGCCGGATGGTGGATAGTAGGAAACACAGCACTTCTGTGTTCTATAAACCTTGACTTAAATCTCCTTTTCTCCTTACCATTGCACAACATGCTTTTCTGCCACTACCTGCAGGATTAAGGAATTATTTGGTTTAGAAAAGCAACCAGGAATTCTGCAGAGCGAAAGGTATTATAACCTGGTACCATCATTTTATTAAGATAATAAACTATCATTGGAATTCACTTCAAAAAACTCTAACTGCCACCTGGAAGAGGAAAACATGTACACACCTCAAGGACAAGAAAACCCAGATCTGCCTCTAAACCTCTTGTTGAGAGCTCAGGAAAGCTGATGAGTCATTAATCAGCACCATTTCTATAGCTATACTCCAGGATGCATAAGCAGTTGTTACTACTAGGTATTTACAACCTCCACACTTTTATTCCATAATTTACAAGCTCCTTGCACAGACTGGGTACAAAAGGGAACCAATATTTAATCCAATTACCAAACGTTATAGGTAGAGCACCTTTCTGGGGGAAGAACAAGACTATTATTTTCCCATTTGTAAAACTCTGCAACCTGAAATAATTCTTTAAATTACTCAGATGCACTAAGTGGGACTTCTAGTTGTGTTGTAAAGGCTTCTCTTACACATCACATACCTGACAATAATTGCCAGAATCCCCTGCCATAACATACAATCATTATGTATTAGAGATGGCAAGGAAAACGGTGTGAAGTTCGGTAGTTCTGGAACACATTTGTACAAACATCACAATTACTCCTCCTGTGCACAGAAATGCACAATTCATGACAAAAATTGAGCAGACTGCACCCCTAATGTAGGCATCAAAAATGCAACTGTGATGCCACAATGACTTTTAAATGGTTTTTAACACAATTTCCTAGGGTCTAGTGGTGCAAATAACGCTGGAGGAAAACGGATTGCTAAGTAGTAAAAAATCTCATTCAAGAGATCTCTGAACATTGACAAACAACAAGATCCTGTGAGGAGGGCAATGACGGTTCTGGCAAGTTTTTTAGCTGTTAACTAACAGCTCACACACAGCATTAGTCATTAGAGGCTGTTTATAGAACAACAAACAATAATGGGGGCTGCATATATAATTCCTTGAACATGAGGTTGCACTCACACCCTGCAGTGCTCATGAATTCATGACAGATTGACAAAGCACAGCAATTCTATTAAAAATGTAAAGGAATAAAATAAGATGTATAATTCTTGGATGAAGTCTACGGTAAGTACTCTGAGAACCAGGAATTTAGCTGTTATTCAAGAGATTTCATAAATATAACAACTAAGAAGTTCCTTTGCTATTGCTGCTAATAATTTTTAATCAAAATGGAAGTCACAAAGCATGTTACAGAACTATATAGAAAGAAGAATACTGATATTTAGCTAACTGGATGACTGGTATTGCAGGTGTACAGCAACAAGGTAAATGAAAACCTCAGCA